AAGAGTACCCCTCCTCTCAGAAAGGTCGCCCCAACCATCAGTAAGGCACATCGATACTCATACACTTACCGCTATATTTTATCGCTATCGACCACTGAGATTGGGCGGTTGGTGGCGTGATGCCACGGAAATGTCCAAAATAGCTTTGTGCCTCTGTGTACTCGTCCACCGTTGTGCAGAGAGAGAGAAGCACTTTGCAGGCTATTCAGTATCCTTGCTAACCACTTTGACAACTACAAATTATCGTGCCTTATGCCTTTGCCTGCATCTCTGCTCATTGGTGTAGTAAGGATCACCACTTTGAAGTACTTTTGTAACTGTGAAACTAACTGATGACATTTAGAAGGCGCTGGAGTTTTTGATATAGCAGGGTGCTATTAGGTGCGTCGCGCGCCTTCATAAAGTGACATGTACACATGGTTGAGCAGTGCTCCCATGGCAGTAGCAGCTGGTTTGCAGCGCTATTATGCTTCAATTAGAGCGTACCATTCACGGATGTGGAGTGTTACGTCCGCGTTGCGGGCGGAGTGACGTGCGTTGCATTCGCACCGGGACCCAACCTGCTCAAGGTGGCAGTGTCGCGGCATGTCGACTCTTTTGACTCTCTCTGCGTCTCTCGATTCAACGAGTTCTCTTCGTGTCCTTTGTCTCTCTAGTCTACTGCAAAAAATATGTAATCGGCTGTTGCGCAATACAAAACTCGTTAGTAACGTTCGCAACGCAATCATTTTACACTTTGTAAACAGATAAATAACTAAATTATATCAACCTGAAATAAATACGTCGTTATATGTAGCAGTGTTATATGCAGCGGTGCGGGAGCTGTTTGAAGTTCTGGCAGTTCTCATGATACTTCTCTCTTTCACACTCACGAATAAAAAAAAGATTGAATGGATGTAGGAATAAAGAAACGAATAACGGAATAAGGAACTCCCTGAAGAAATAGTAAGTCATGAGCACTATTAGGGGGCGGGAACTAATGCATCAGAACGTCTTGGACGAGCTAATCGAGGATTGAATTCATTGGTAAAAGGGCTAAATTGTTGATGAGGAAGCATACACAACCACGTTGTCGACGTTACTAACACGAGCTAGCCATGGGAGTGTCATATGTCGGCGACAGGATGCAGACGACCAGGTTCAGTTGCATCGACGCGTGCCCTGCCCTTCATCCCTCCCAAATGAGCAGGTGTGGCGCTCCACACCCAAAATAAAAAGGAAGTGGTACGTTGGACATCGGAAGCAACCCTGAAGCAACCTCGTGTCTAAAAAGAAAACGATAAATATATAAAATTGGATTGAATCGAAAATCTGTGACGATTGAATTTCATTAGTGGACTTCATTTAGCAAGCATAGAAATCAATGATATCACAAGTGATCACTTAAATGAGATCGCTACTTTGTTGTATATCACACTGCGAGAGCAAAAGGTCCCATTCCTGAAAATATAGGGAATATGCATGAGAAATAGGACTGGTCAATAAACTGATGAATTCTAACGCAGCACAAGTCACAAAACCTTACATAACATTGAACAAAATCAGATTTTGGAAGAGGAAAGAAAGATATGTTTATATTTATATTTCCAATATGAGTCAACCATAAGAAAACAGGAAGGAATTTCGGTATGGAACAAACCATCTACTGCCTAAGAGGAAGATGGTTTAGCGACAAACAAACCGTGGGTGGGGTGTGTGCGATTCTATCGTCACTCGGAGTCGTCGCGCCGGTGGGAGGAGCCGGCGGCGTGGCGGCCGCCGCGTACGAGTTCTGTTGCGCGGCGTTCAAATTGTTAAAGGGTTGACGATCCCTTTAACAATTTGAAAGAGTCATCCTATTTTGGTTATCTTTTTTCCTATTATGTCTTTCCTATCCTATTTCCTTTCCTGTTTTTACTCTTATCTTGGAGGTCACCTTTTAAACAACCTAATATCGGCTTGCCAGCTACAACTGGGAGCACAGTAATGCAACGCCGGGATTGCCACGCCGCGTGGCCGCGCGACACGCCGCGACGCGACGTGTGCGACGTGACCTGTCTTGCCGACGATAGAATCGCCCGGGTCCTCCCAAACAGGTCGAAACCATGGGTCACATGGATGGATTCCCTCTTAAGTCGAAGAAACCTTTCATCCCTGCTAGGTGAGCGGAATGGTATTGGTGACGCGCACGCTGGCTGAGCCCGAGTAAGGCAAGGACGCATCCAGAAATTTTGCCTATCCAGATGAAGGTCGTGGCGCATTCTAGAATGCCCTTGAACAACAGCAGACGGTTTTGGCCTTTCAAAGCGACCGAGTTCAGCATCAATGTTAACGAAGTAGTCGAGGAGAGAGAGAGAGAGAGAGAGAGAGAGAGGGAGAAGAGGAGAAGAGAAGAGAGAGAGAGAGAGAGGAGAGAGAGAGAGTTACTAACTATACTTCAGCTTTACCTGACAGAAGGATGAGGTGGTCTACATTGGTCAACCCCTAGCTATAGCAAGTCCCATTCAGAGCGACCCAAACACTCGAGCGCGCCTTCAGCTCATTATAGCGGCTTCGAGGGATGGCCACCCTATTCGCGTGTTCCTTCAATTTCCCAAGCAAGCCTAGCCTCAAAAATCGTGCTTAGTTAAAGGGGTGCTTAGTTAGTCTGGCCATGAGATTCGATTCCACGGACCGGTGCAAATGAAGTGGAATGCTTTCTAGCCACTCCTACAGCTACCACCTATTGAGACCGTACGAAGAAGTGGTGAGAAAAAAATACGCAGTTCTCAATTCCCCTCATAAAAAGAGAACGGAGATCGAAATCAGGAAGAATACCAAATATTAATATTGATACCCTTTTCAATAGAGAACCGAGCCTCGCTTGGAACGAAAAACAATCTGTGGTTAAAAAACGTGATACGTAAAAACTAATATTTATTATTTAATTTAATATTTGATAGCTTCAGCACTAACCGTCGTTTTACTTTCATCGAACGGATTCGGGAACTGTGACGATGGAGCACCAAGGAGATCAATAATGCCATCTGGAATCAATGCATACCAAATTCTAGTCGTAGACATCAATAAAATTATTAAATGTGTAAAATAAATGCAAAGAAAACTAGAAAGCAATTAAGGTGTTTCAACATTTAGTTTTCTTTCGTTACCGGGCTGATTAGAATATTATTGGATACGACCTCTATTTTCGACGGGCGCGGTTCTGAATGTACCGCGGTATGTGTGGGTAGGAGATCCGAGACGATGAAAAGTTAGCTATAGGGTGCGGTATTCCTTAACCAGCCTGTTATAACCTTTTCACGTCAAACTGAATAGGTGCTGGTGGTAATGCTGCGCATGTAACACCACTTGCAACGTTGTTTTTGCGCTCTCCCTGAGCACTGCGGGACTTTCGATCCGATATTGGTCCATTAATCGGAAAGAATTGTCAATCAGCTGCTCATTTATGAAAAAAGACCTGTTCTCAGGAGCAACCTGCACACTCACTTGCAAGGATCCCGGTCCTTGTCGTATGAGGGGAGAATTAGTCCGCAGTTGTGGCTGACGGTGTCAAAACTTACTTCCACTCGAAACTCACAGATTGAAGCTGGAGGGTATGATTTCGAGTCCGGTCTCCCGAATTCACCCGAGCTGCCGCTTGGCCGGCCACATGCCTAACTATAATCAAACGCACTACTTCTCTGCGTCCTCTCACTTCTTGGTTGTTCTCTACCTTTGACTGCGTGTTCGCTTCGGGAGCTTTTTGGTACTGGCCTAGAAGCTGCACCGTAAGGACAGCGTGGGCGGAGGCCGGAATGGATCCGCGGGATCAATCACTGTCTTTTTCTGGCGCTCTGAGGTGAAATGCTGCACTTGACCTCGCTACCTAACTCGTTCCTCTGGCAAGACCGTCTTCGGGACAGAGTGCTACATTGTCTGAGGGAGGCGATGTAGAAATTTCAAAACTGCTTACAATTTTCCTTCCATCGTCACATTTCATGAAGCGGCCCGCAGCCGCTCTGAGAGAAGGCCATGTATAACTGCTGTACAAAAAAAACGACCTATCCACAAACCTTGACTAGAAGCAGCAGGTTTTGTTTGTCCGACCAACGGGAACAGGTCTTGCACAGAATAACCAGAGTCGTCGGGGCTGGGTATCGAGACTGTGGTTGCCGTAGCTGCTGAAAAGAAGGCAACTGCTAGATTTCTTCGCAAGAAACTGTTTGGTTATTGAATGTTTAAGTACTCCTGCCAAACGAGGTTGTTAGACGAAACCTCTAACTGGCCTAACGATTCGCCCTTGCTAGTCTTACTAACAAAATGAATTAATGTATCATCGCAGAATCACATTGTGAACTCTTTCATAGGTTTTACAGGCGCAATACATCACCTAGAGGAACGCTAGAAGGCGAATCAGCGAATAATTATTATATGTACACAAACGGTTCAATTAAAGAATGAAGTTACCAGAAGGGCTTGGTTGCATAAGCACGGTTCGCGGAGGAGGAGCTAGCAGAGGGACTTCGGCATCCGTATTTATCAAAGGCGGCAGAGGACCAATGTGAATCTGAAAAATTGACTTTTTAATTTCACAAAAACCTACCGCCATGTCTACCATAGGCAGGACTTGGAAAGCATCGTACTTACTGGACTGTTCACTTGTGAGTGGTTCGCATTCAAGGTCAATTACTCCTAAAGGACTATCTTGTCTTCGGTCTTCTTCATCTGTTTCCTCAGATTCCTTGGTCTCGGTAGGAGACTGATCTCCTCGTCAAATAAGTATTTCTCAATGAGCCTTCCGTTCGTCATCAAAGTTGACAGCCTGTCAATTGACTTCTATTTTTTCGAATTATTGGGGGCGCAAAGTTGGGAGATAAGAGAGAGCTTATGCACTCACACAATCCCAGTAGATGGGGAGGGCCGTGGCTAAGTAGCTGGCATATGAAAGGAAAGGCATATATGATTGAATTTTATTCTCTATTTTTGGTGTCATCGGCTGTCGCTTTTTGCTGGATAAAGACATCATTACTATTGTCCCAAAACAGCAAGATCTTACTGAAAGAGCGGACGCCGCCACCTTCAAGTAAAGTGCGCAGCCACGCCCTCCCCACCCCCGGGATATGGACCATAATTCCAGAGCATTATATTCGGAAATTTTTTCTTCGAGTAAGGAAAATTATGTCTCAGTACTAATTGTAAGCAACGATTACTTCACAGCATACAAAGAGCTCAGTACAGGGAAGGGTCTGATGGTGAGGGAAATACTGCCCTGAATGAGCTATGAGTTCCGTCACCACTGTGAGGGAACCTTCTAGATCTCCACATTTAGAAGGAGGCAGTACCACCACCCGACACAAACGGTACTGTGACCGTACTCACTTTGGGGAAAAAGTGGAAATTTTGGCTCGTTATTCACTTTTCTGCATTATTCACCATTTACTGCTCCGCTTTTCGAGATTCGCGGCATCTGGTCAGGAGACCATCTTAGAGGCCATGCCAAGGTGCTCGCGCAAACACATTAGTCATCCGCGGACACTCCTCAAGTCATCACACTGGGTGGAAATCGTCGTCCAAGGGTAGCTTGACCCCATGCGAAACCCATACATATTTATTGGAGAAACTCAAGGTCGGCATATGGGGTTTACGTTACAGCGCAGCCCTCTGCTCTCTGCTGTGCATACTGAAACAGTGTATAACGATCTGGCGAGCTGAGCAGGACGAAGCGATCGTGGGGAAGACTCTAAGTAATCAAGGGAGTAATGAAGAAGAAGAAAAAGAAGAAGAAGGACATCCGGCTCCGAACCCACCTCTTCAACACTGCAGTCCTTAAAGGCACATTCCGCGATAAAATAAGGCTATGACCTCTCAAATGTGTCGGACGATCCGGAAGGCGATTTTTGAGGCTGCGCTACTTTCAAAATGTGAAAAACGGCAAGAACTCCGCTAGAAGCTGACTAATTAGGCCATGGACTTCCGCCTTAGCCGTGCCCGACCCTCAACCGGCTGCTAGCTACTAGCTAGTATCCACTATGTTATCTTTCTCTATAACATTTCGGACTGCTTTTTCTGCTGCTTTTCTCCGCTAATCAGATACTTAGCACTTTTTGTGCCTATTTGAGTTCCGTTTCCCGCAATTCGCGGTCGAACTGTGCCTTTAAGATGCGCGAATGAAACGTGTGTTCTGCACAAGCAGGATGAGCACACTGTCAGCGCTATAGTGCGCTATAATGAGGACAATGACCTGGGTTTCCTCACTAAACGCAAGTGCATGCGGGAATCCGGAGTTCGAGGTTTGTCAGGGGTTGAAGATCAGGCAAGCTGCAGTATTTGTCAAAGAATCGAAGAGCAGGTGGAATAGACAGGTTATGTGAAGGATCAACTGACCTAGCTTCAATATGGAGCAGAAGAAGAGCAGAGCGCATGATGCTGGTCAACGTCTTCAACGCCGAACAAGAAAAAGTAAGAAAGTTTTTTTTGTCATCCTTGAGGTGATCCACTGGTTTACTTTGGCTTGAGACAGGAATGTACAGTCTTGTTCAATGGAAGCTGGGACACGCTGTTACGCGCAGGCGACCAATCGGTGGAAAACTTAATATAGGTGCGGAAAACTAACCAAGCCCCTAGAAACAACACATAAAAAAAGTCCGAACAAACCCTAGACATGTAGAACGTGAATGACCCCCTCGCACTAGAGGAATGGAATCAACACACGGGACGACGCTCGTAGGTTCAAAAAAGACCGGTAAACAAGCGAGAAGGTAGCTATGAGCAGAAACTACATAATAACACTACATCTTTCAACACGCTCCTCCGCGTCCCTCCCCTCATTTCGCTCACAGGGAGTAAACTCGGGCTCACCGCAGTCCTCTCACTTTTCCTTATCCAAAGCTAGCTTCGCACACCTTTCAGTTGCGCTCTTTTCTCCGATGGCCTAAACACATCAATGAGATCCAAATAAGTAAAGTTGGAGGATTGTTGTAATTGTCCGAGATGGTAGGTTCTGTACAGGTCATGCATGGCTGTTTAAGGTTATACCGTCAAAAAGATTCGAAATTCCGAATAGTGTTGAAACGTTGATAAATTCGCGGTGAGAGAGGCTGAGCTAAGCGCGACACGCCTGTGTTTTTTGCTCATAGACAGCGACGACAGCATATCCAGATATTTTCCGAGCAGATGAGAGAGCAAATTCGAACGAGACGCAGACAAAAGATCGACCTAAAACTTCAGTGATTTACCTAAGATGAAATGTGATTTATTGAAAGCAACAGCTGACAGAGGAGAGCCAGTAAAAGAGCTCTCCCCCCAAACGCTCATAAAGCTACCCATGAGGCTTTATTGTAGCTGTCACTTCATAAGTCGGGTGGTGTACAGGCACCCATCCACATCAGGCATTCAGCAGGAAGGAAATGGTGTCACCAAATCAGAAGTGTACCACTCTATAAAGTGGGACAAAAGCTGAAGAAGAAAAAAATATAATTAGTTATCATGCCTTATGCCTTCGAAGGTTAGTGTACAGTCATCAAAACACGGTTGAAAGTTCGTCAAGAAAAAAACGACCATCTAACATTATAGAAGGGCTATTTTGATCGCACCTACACTTGACCCGAAACGTGTTATGAGAGCAGAAAGAAGAAGAGTCTCTAGTGGAGCGCTAGTCCTTTTCTCGTCTTCCGCCACCAATGAAACTGTAGATCAACTTCTTGCAGATGTTCTCGGGTGAGATTACCGTTTCGAACAGTATCAGTGAAGAATTTGCCGAATCCAGGTAGCAAAACCACGTGGTAAAGCGAGCACGGCTAATCCTTCAAGCCATCCAATTAGAAGGCCTGAAATAGATTCTTCTTTCATGCACAAGAAGGGATCCTCGTAGAAGAAAAGTAAGAACGCCCTCTTTCAGTGTGGAGAGGTTACAGTTACGAGATGAGGGAAACTTTAGATAGCCTTTTCGATTTTTAAGTATCCCATCTCTGCCCATGGAGTGGTACTTTCAGCAGCGCAAGAGCGACTTTTCCACTCCGATCCACAAAAAGTATTGTTATCTAGGACATGTCAGACATTCGACCTTCACTCCAAACACTTTTAAGCGGATTTTAGCTTGAGAAGTGCCCAGTGCCCTCACAAATCCACCTACGGCCTCAACTGGCGTAGGGGCACTGGCTTCGGCCAATTAACGCGGAGGGCGCCTCCAGAGGATAGAAGAGTTGCAGAACTTCACTCTGGAGGTTTTGTTCAAATTCTGCACAATAATGATCAATGGACTTTTCAAGTATCCCGATCAGAGCTAGGTTGCCCACCGTAATGGGCCAAACTAGGACGTCCACCGTAATGGACATGCAAGCTAGGAAGTCCTCCGTAAAGGACAAATACAAGACCATCAGGATTGCCACGATTAACATCGGCACCCTGACCGGCCGCTCTGCCGAACTAATAGAAATACTGAAAGGTAAGGAACATCGACATCTGCGCGATACAGGAAACGAAATGATTCGGGGCGCGAAGAGGATTGGAGGATATAACGTTTATTATAACGGACAACAACCCAAGGTTAACGGTGTGGCCATCGCAGTGTCACAGAAGTTCGATCACACGATCAAAGACGTGCAGAGGATTTCGGATCGCATCATGTTGGTCACTATGATTTTCGGCAAGAGAGCAACCAATATAATCTGCGTGTATGCCCCGCAAGCAAATTGCCCAGTACTGTGAAGTACACGTTTCACTGATGTAACATTTAAGTGTTCAATCAGAGAAGACCTTT